TGATAATGTAGCCTCCCTAAATCCTCCTTATATTGAACAGGGCATGTGTGTAGCATGGTAAGCTAACAAGACTTCTCAGAACAGGTCAAATCACCTTTAGGATTCTTGTTGCTAAAGTAGAAAATGCCAGGATGTAATTCTTTGTGATACCAAAAACCAGCAAGAGATTGTGTGATCCAGGAGAGCTGACACAACTCATTGCTCGTGCAGTAGGTAGACATTCTGTCTACATCATGCATTGTGACATTCATCTCACTTTGGAAATGAAAGGAGAATCCTGCTGAGTAAATTAGAATCAGTGGTAATACAGCTGTTAGCTACAAACATTTGTTTGGCATGAATCAATCTCAACTCTCCTGTAGTTTGCTTTGATGGTCTCTCTAGTATCTTGTTGACTAATGATGAGATCATGGTTTGTTAATCTAAGTGCATAAAGAAAACATTCTGCCAAGCAAAATGCAGACTCTTTTGCTGGGGTCTATTGCAGTTGTTTATAGACCCTTTGTTTACATAGGCATCCAAACCAATTTGTTGGATATTTATTTGGGTTACTCTGCAGAACTGCATGAACACAGACCTGAATCCTATCTTTAATCTGTCTGCATTTTAATGGGCCATAGTTTGAACAAAGTGGAAACCAGCCACTTAGGATACATTTCTTGTTGGCCAGGGCTTCAAATGTTTTGTGTGCTATCTATAATTCTCATCTTGAGAGCATTTAACGACTGGAGAGAGTTGTAAGCCACTCTGATGTGGAGGTAACACATTTGGTTTTGACCAGAAGTTATTAGAACTCATTAAGCTTTTGACAAAGTTTGCAAAAAGCAAAATACAATTTTTAATCCAGCCAGTGCTTTGAATGCACATATTTTTAAATTTATAACTTCTTGCTCTCCATAATCATCTCTAATCTTAAACCCAGAAGATACTGGCACCAGGAACTTACGGGTACGTAGTTCCCATTCAAATGGAGCACGCATATACAGACATGGCCAGACAGCTCACAGCAGTCAAAATGGCTGTATTTGCAAAGCCTGTAACTGAATTCACAGATTTGAGTGGAAATAAAGGCAAATGAAGAGTAAAGTAGCTTCTGATGGCTGCTTTTCTCTGCTATTTGACGGTCTCTCAACTTAGGAAAGCTACTTAGGAAAAGTTCTTTCAGAAAATCAGAAGGTAGTATGAAGAACCTCTCTGCATTTGTGATATGTGTAAAAATTGCCCCCTCATTAGCATTTGTCTTGGAAATAAGTAAGGTCCACTATTCATTTAACTGGGGAAGAGACTTGTATAACCTCTCCTGTGCTTCTGAGCTCTGCAGCCCAACAGCAGACACATGCGTAAGCCAGATATCCTGAGTTTGGACCTGTTCTTAAGCTCAGAAAATACAAATGACTGACTTTTATTTTAATTAAATTATTGCTAGTAATTTTTTAAAAGGAACTCAAATAGACAGGAATATATAGAACAATGAAGAAGCCGAGGCAGAGAGGAGCAGAGTAAAAGGGAAAGGCATGTATAGTGAACAACTGGGATAGTGTGGGAGATCGCTGAGCTTTGCAGAACCTCTCCCAAGGTCCTGGTGAGTGAGAGTTTCACCCTACAGTGAGGGACCAGAGGATCAAGGAGAAATACAGCAAGACGTAATGAGCTATTTAAATTGATTATGGACTTTCAAGGGAAGGTAGGAAAGGGATAGGAGTAAGTGTTGACTTGGTCAGATTGGCTGGAAGAAAGATCAGTTTTGGCAGTTTAAGTTTCATCTGGTTGTGGAAGATGAGGAAAAAAACGTGTCAGTGAAGCCCGAGAGGAGATTGCCATAATTTAGGAGGCTCATGAATTAGCCCTGGTTCACTAAAAATAGCACAGTAAAAGTAAACATTTTTGTTAAAATGCCCATACCAAACAAGCTGCTGAAGAGTATGAACCAAAGCAAGCAGAGAAGCCAAGAAAGCTGCAGGAATCTAAGGCGGCACAATATTTTTAGGCTTGCTTTCATACTCAGTATGGTTTTCTTTCTTTCAGTGTGACAGTTGCCAAAGTGAAATTCATAGCCTGCTGGGTGTCTGCAGAACCCTTCCTAGTGAGCTGTAGAGGGAAGTTTTGAGAGCCATGCAGTGGGGGACTGGGAGAGGAGGTGGTCCATGGGAGGGTGTTTCATAAGAAGCAAGCAGGCTAAGGAGTAAAAGAGTTGGCAGACTACTCTTTTAATGTGCGTGAGCTAACCCATAAAAGGAGGAGTCAGAAGGAAAGAGGGAGAGAAGTGGAATCAAACAGTGATGGTACCACAGAAAAAGCCCGTTATGATTTTTCACATACTATTTGGGGGGGAGTGTGTGAAAAGTAGATAGTAGTACTTGAAACAATTTTCAAAGCACTAGAGAATCTAAGAAATAGAAAAGAAAGAGTGCAAACTGGACCAGCATCACAAATTAGAAATTGGTATTGTAAATTAGAAGTCATTTATGTGTTGTCATTGCATAGGCATGGGCTTGAGGCTTCACAATAGTCAGGAATTTGAAGAGGTACTGGACTAATGCATGGATGGCAAGGCCATTGGTTGCTGTTAAATATAATTGTCCACACGCACTTTTGGGCTCAGGAAGTCTTTTAATTGTTGATTACCAGAAACTGTGAGGCTACAGCAAGGAAAGGATCAGTCTACACATGCTCTCTTCTTCTATAAGCATCTATTGCTGGTCATGTTGCAAGCTAGGCTGGATGGATCTTTGGTGTGGCTATGTCAGGCTTTATTGAGTTAAGGTCACGAACTTGGCCTTTTGGCTCATATTTCTATGGATTGGGTTCTACAAATTTTGGGAAATACTAGCATTAAATTTTTTGTAGGAAGAGCAGCCTGTTTTCTGCCTTTAAAAAAGCTTTGCAGGAAATAGATAATAATAGCCTGGGTTTTGTGATTTTTACAGGCAAATGGGAAGTCTTCACTAGCCATAAGTATATACTTCAAAGGTAAAGAATTTGTAATTTTTTTTCCAGAAGAACCTCATGGTGAAAACTTGAGAAAAACCTGTGCTTCAGACATCTAAACTTGAAGATCTTTGCTTTTGTACTGATAGGTTTTATCATTAACTTGCTCAAGTTGAAAGTGTTAACTGCCTTAACTAGCACCTGGATGAAATGGGGGAATGGAAGTTAATATCATGGTGTTTAAGTATCTGATGGCTATCGGAAATCCACATCACTGGAGTGTACAGTTGACATACCTCAGACAAGAACAGAGAGACAAAATATTTCCATTATTATTTCATTAGAAATAGAAATGTGTTTTGGAGAAGTCAAAGACTCTATAGTACAGCTCATCACAGCATTGTGTTTAAACTGTTACAATGTTGACTTGCTGTTACAAAAATTCAGTGTTACAGGAAATCAGAAACAATATGGAATAGTTTACACTAACTCTGCATTAAAACGTTCCATCTGTTCTTGCTTTAGGTTCTTAGAGAATTGCTTTTTCATCTCTGTAATGCTTTTCACTTCCTATTAGTAAGGCTTTTAAAGGTAGGCACTGAGTTAGTTTAAAACCCACAGCTTTTGAGTTTAAACGCCTATTAAAACTAAAGCTGTCTGGAACTACAATAAAAATTTATTTTGGCTACAAAAGACAACTTTGAAACCTAACCCATCTGTATTTTTCCTCCTCCAAACAGTGCAACATCCTGTATAATAGTATATTTATCTTAAACAGAGACCACATATCTTTATGAAAACAATTGTTTCAACTTAATTTATGGGGGGTAATCAGCTCATATTAAAGTTCTCAGTATTCCAGGATGCTAATATAAATTGGTTACAGGAGATGTGATGACTCGAGTAATTCCATAGAATAATCAGAAATCTGATGTTGCCATCGACTTAGAATGTAGCCTGTGTATATTATAACCTAAAATTGCCATAAAAAATTCATGTACAGGCATATAGTAATTGAAAAATAACTGTGTGTGTGCAAATTAGGCATACAACTGCAGCTACATTTTACCGATAATTTAGGCTTGTGTATGGTGACTTCCAAACTCGACCACAGGATAATTCCACCAGAATCATTTATTTGAAATAATCGAGCTGGTCTCTGCAATCCCTGGGCCCACCAGGGAGATACCCACACATATCTAGTAGGGCTGCTTGGTCAGTGTATTTATTGATGCAAATCAAAACCAAATTGACTCACTGTGAAGAGCAGTATCCCTGGGATGCATAAAGCTTCCCACTGCCACGAGTGGGAGTCAAACATATCAGGGAGACTGGATCCCTGGGGTTTAGCTCCCTCCATACAATAGTTTGTCAGATTTTGACTTGAAAAGGGCTGGGTTTAGCACTCTCTAAATATAACCAGCCCTGAAACTCCCACTGAGATTCCTTTCTGTCTGCCTGCAGACGATGAGATAAGGCCCCTTCTCCTGTGACTTCAGTCTGGAGTACCTCTATCATCCCCACCCCAACCCTGATAACAGCCGGCTTTGCACGTATTTGAGAGCAAAACACAATCTGAGTTTTGAGCGATTCGTTACTCTTTCTGTAGATTACAGCCTTCATCTTCAGACCAAACCTCCTCTGTAACATCTGCATAATAGACTCATAGCAAGACATTTTGGCATCCGGGAGACTACTGACTCCCTTCATCTTCTGGCCAGCTTCTTTCCATCATTTTGGGAACAGACACCTTGGACAATCTCCTTTTCTCCCTGCACTCCTTCCTTTTTAGGCCTCCTCCTCATCCTCAACATACTTGAATACAGCATCAAAGCTGAAGTACATTTGCCCCAATTTGCCCCCTTCCTCTCCCATTTTCCCCAAGTATGCCAAGATACACAAATTATGGATGCTAAAGCAGCATTTATGTGTGCTGTGATATACACGGGATGTTCTGCCTACTTGCATGTGATTCACATCCTCATAAGCCCACAGGAAATCTCAGCAATATTTTTCCAGGCATATCTCCTGTGCTGAGGTGCCGAGCACAGCAGGGGCTGGAGGAAAGGAGCCATTTCTGCTTTGGAAGTACTGCAGCACGTAAGGTTAGCTGGGAAGGACAGACCACTGTTATTTAGATGTAGCTCTTTTACTCAGTGACAATGAGAAATGTAGCACAAGGACTCAATACTGTCTCCCTAAGTATTTACTCACATTTTACAGTAACATAGCTGTGAATCCTCTTACCTCAGTGGATCCAGTAAAAGCAATTTTATCAATGCCAGCATGAGATGCTATGGCTGCACCAACAATTGGACCAAATCCTGGCAAAATATTGACAACTCCTGGTGGAAAGCCAGCCTGTCAAAATAGCAATGAATGAAGGGAAGCATGATTTATGAAAACTGACAGAGCATGTTAAACCAGGCATGTGCTGGTAGCTCCTTCCCCACAAGGAGAGACCAAGACATTATTCCTGTCAATTATCCTTACCTCCTTGATGAGGGCTCCCATATAGAGAGCGCTGAGTGGTGTTTGTTCTGCTGGTTTAATAACTACTGTATTGCCACAGCACAGAGCTGGAGCAATCTTCCATGCAAACATCAGCAGGGGGAAGTTCCACTGTAGGAAAAAAAAAAGTTGATAGATGGAAAAATATTGCAGTGGTGTTTTGTTTGCAAGATGTCAAGCTGCTACTTCACTTATTTCTCAGGCTGATCCTCAACATAAATCTTTCCCAGCACAAAGCAAGGATTTTTTTTTTTTTTAATTACTGCCATTAAGAAAGCGACAACAGTGACCTTTTACATCTTTCTCTCTTGTTCAAAGAAACACAGCCCCCACCTGCAGTCTTCATAAAAGAATCTCCTGTTATCTGTTAATTTTTTTAGTCACAACTTTTCATTTAATTTACTGTTTTGCAATTGGCACTTTTAATTACCCCATGACAAATAGTTTTTGCTTCTGATACATTTGGAAAGAACTGTTTGTTCATGCTGAAGCATTTTTTGGATGTAAATTTCCTATCCCTGAATACACCTTACGATATAAAATTTATACTCAAAATTATGTAATCCTTAATTGACAAGATTACAGTAAAAGCCCCATAAATGTCAATGCTCAGTCAATGCATTTCATTTTCTTGAAAACTTCTTACTGAGCAATTTATATGGAAGACGTTAACAGTAAAAAAACCAAGCTGAGATGATACACTCTTTGCAGATACAAAATTTTGTTTCATCATTAATTTCAACTTCACTTAAGTGCAGCAGAAGATGTAGTGATTTATATTAGTTTGATGCACAAACAAATTGTACATATAGATAAGAGTAACAAGCCTTTCTGCATCAAGGCCTGATCCTAACAGGCTAAGTGGATAGTCCTGCTGATTTCAGTGGAAATGCCAGAGTGATAAAAGAACTGCGTTTGCACAATCACTCTTATAAATGCATATAATAATCTCCTTCAGAAAGAAAATAGAAAATATCAGTCACAAAGAGTCAGCCACTGGCCAGAACATGTTATTGCCTGATGCATATCAGCTGCCACTCTCATGGACATCTCTCTAGCCCCTGGCTAGCTTGAAAAAATACACAACTGTCTCTCCTTCACCGAACACCCAATTTTTTACTCCCTCAGTTGTTTATAAACTCCGGAGACAAAGTGATGTTTTAATTCCCTCTCCAGTATATAAACCTGGGAGGGGAGCTATAGGGCCAACAGTGTGCTGACAGCCTGCACTTCTAATGGTATTGCAAGGAGAGGTCTGACGAGTTTTATAGGGTAGTATATAGCCCTGTTTCTGCTACAAAGCTGCCAAAGAGCATATGTTTTGATGGAAGCTGAGATGTGAAAGAGGATGAGGAGTTTAGTGTTAGGCTTGCTGTATAATTTTATTTTTGTAATAACATATTTGCTAGCGTCTAAGTGCATGCTAGCACTAAGTGCATGCAGCGGCCCAGGGGCTGTACTCTGTGACTGGTAGCTGTGGAGGAAATATGTAACAGATTAGCAGCAGTGTTAGAATAGATGTGCATGACAGCCATGTTGAAGTTTTGGAGGACAAACTCAGAGTAAGAATGAACAAGTATGGTAGATGGCTGGGTACCCTGAACAAAGAGTTCTACAAACATAAACTAAATAAATCCTTCTTTTGGCATCATCTTCAGCCCATGGCCAAGTTTCTTCAGCAGATCTGTCAGTTAAGCACAATGAGCCAAGCCTAAGAGATGTCCAGCAACTTTGAGGTTAGATGTTGGGGTTGTCATTTTGCAAATGCTTATCTATGTGCTTGGCTGAAGAATGGGGACAGAGCTGTGGAATCATTCATTCATAAGGACCACTCGCGAGTCAAGTTAGGAGAGTGCGTAGGTGTTTGCAAGGACGGGTGTAGCGACAGACTCTCTGAGTCGTTTGCATGTTTCCCTGAGTTTCTACAGAGTGCCAAACACAATAGCCAGCCCTTAACAAAGACGTGAAATAACAACAAATATAAATAGGGAAAAAGGGCTTAACATTGTTAAAGTAATCTTTTCTGGCTGCTCCTCTTTTAATGGAATTGCTGTATGTTGCTGTTTAGTGGCTTTGTGGTTAACATGAACAAAATAAAAAGACAACATCAACAAAAATTTCAGAGAATGTCCTGATTAGTCCCTCAGTGCTTTGTCAAGGAAAAAAGCTTCCACACAATATTTTAATAGCTATATGTGAGCCTCCCATTGAAATTTCTGCCAAAGCCAGTTAACTGGTTCTTCTGAAAAAGTTAGCCTCTCAGTGTAATTCCCATGCAGTGTTCAGCAAGAGTGTATTAAGGATGTATATTGGGGTATAGGGGGAGTATTAGTTTTGATGAAATGCTGTGTTTCTCTCTCATAACAAATAAAACAAACATTTCATGTCTTTTATTAGCTAAACAATGTTAATTGTAATGATATGTCTCCTGGAGTTTCCTTTTCTCCTGCAGCCTTGTAAAAGAAATAGCAGGAAAGAATGGAATTAAAATGCATCACATTCTCCCAGGAACTGAGGAGCCTGTTAAATCACAGTAAAAACTAAATAAATAAAAAGACTACCACAGCAAAGCATCAATTTTCCATAACTTGTGTGAACATCCATAACCACTGACAGCATATTAACACTGTGTTTTGCTTTGCTTGTTTTAATCATGAGAATTCTATGACTTGAGAACTTAACTCCTAATAACAGAGCCTAAACCCTATTAGCATGTTCAAATAAGCATTTGCAGGGAGGCTGTTAAAGATATGTCAACAATATGAGCTCAGCTTTTTTGGTAATGGAAAACACACATAGCTGAGGACCATGTTTTATGTGTCTTTAAAGAGAGCTGGTTCAAATGAAAATAAATAGAAAGCGCTAGTAGAGATACTTACAGGGATGATCTGTCCACACACTCCGATGGGTTCGTGTCTTGTAAATGTAAAATAATCTCCATCTGAAACAGATGAGCATGGTTACTCTCAAGTGCAGTTTGACTTGGCAGAACACAAAAAAAAAATGGGGGGGAGAGGGTAGCTCTAAGGATCAGCCTTTGATGGCAGTAAAAGAAATAAAGAAGTCATGGAAATGTTTTTTTCAAGAGCCAGCATGGGAAACCTAGGTTCAGGAGCAACCTAATTGTTCTTTCTGTAGAACAAAGGAACCAGGCATCCCATCAGAAAGTAACTTGCTTTGTTCCTTGGGAAGGAGGACAAGCTGTACTGCATAAAAAAGGGCAGTATCAAGGAAGCCATTTACTAGCCTCTGCTGATTTCAGAGTGAGAGAACTGAAAGAAGAGTCACAAAGGCAATTTCCTGAAAGGCATGTCTGGAACACAGCAATATAAAGGTATATATACAAGCAGATGTGGGATAATCGAGTAACATGCATCTCACTCATCTTCCACTGAAGACACAAGCAGTTTGAAGTAATGGAATGATACACCACAATCTGCAGATGTGGAATGAAGAGGGGAAGCCTGTGACTGATGCGTAAATGAGCATAATTTACTGCAGAAGACAAGGCTAAGGAGAATACAGGGGTCATCATACAGCAATGCTCTTATAGCTGACTTATAGAACAAGGCCTGTATCAGAAATGGCCTCAAGCTAAATAGGCAGTCCATTTGACAGGGAAAAGTTGGATGCAGCTGGAAAGCAAGACAACAGAGAACAAGAAAAGTTTTCACAAACCTTTTGGGCAAGGTGGAGGTGAATAAATAAATGAAGGGACCAAGTCACTGGAAACTTGGAAATTACGGACTTTTCTCACTGGGCTTTTGACAGAAATAAGGATTTGGACTAAGAAAGAGCCTAACAACAAAGATGCAGGAAAAGCAGACTGCGTATTCACAAACAGCAGGTGTGGACAGCATGAGACTAAAGGGAATTACTTACTTAACTCTCTGATCTAGTAATTATGTTTAAGGTCCTGATGAACAAAAATGGCAAAAAACGCCAGGGGTGAGAGGTATCATTGTATCCTTAACTAAAGCGCTGTTGAGCTCAGGGCAGCCCCACTCAGGTCATGAAATAAACAGATCTGTGATTTGGGGTCAGGTCTGTGGTCTGTGTGAACCTTTCCGATGGCCCGGCCTGCTCAGAGTGGCAGGTGTCTGTGCTGGCTCGTTTTGCACAGCTAGTATAAGTGACTGTCACGGGGGCGGATGGAGTTCGTGCTTTTCCACAAAGCTGCATGGTTGTTGCTGCTTCAGCACTTGCCTGTGGTCTGGGAGCACATGCTGAGGTTATATGTGCTGTGGTACAATAATAGGTTTCTTCCCAACTGATAGAGAGCAGGAAAATGACCTGCTCTGCGTGGGGACCGGTTGAGGTATTGTCTAACCATCAGCTTTGTTAGCGTGCTTCGCTTGCATCTGCGCAAAGTAGATTTTGTACCTACATTGAGTCTTGTAGCTGTATAAACTAGCCCAGTCTCTAACCACCTCTGAATTTAGGTCAAATGTTTTTCAGTGAGGCTACAGCTGAGGGAAGGGCGACGCTAAAGGCATGAGCTGAATGTGGCCCTTGGCCTGTAGTGCTTGGTCATCTAGAAAAACCTGAATCTGTTAGAAACCTCATTTCAACTAAGTATGTGAGACTGATGAGAAAGTTACCTAGGCTTAATCACAGGAGATGATTTACGAGGATAGGAAATGGTCAGACGGAGGAAGGGAGTAAGAGGAGGGGAGATCATAGTGCTTTTGCTCCCATTGTCACTGTCCAGCGCAGTGGTATTTCCTTCACGTGATGTGTGAGCACGTGGGCAGCTGTGGCCCCTACCCCATTCAGTCTGGAGCTGCAGCCAGCCTTGTTCAATAACAGGCCAAGACCTTACTTCACAATGGAGAGTACATTTTGGGAACCTGCTGCAATGTCCTGTACTATACATCTGGTAACAATAAATGGGTTAATCCATAAAGCTTCTTGGGTTTAAGTAAAGACTTCAACTGGAATTTGATTACAATTAACTTATTTTCAGGTCTGCTTATTTCTGTACATCAACTTTACAGGATTTGCTCATTAGAAATATGAGCTAGAGTAGCCAATACATCACCCTTGGGGCCAGATACAGAATAATTATGAGAAAGGTAACAATCGTCTGCAACCAAGACAAGGGACAGAACAGACGAGACAAAGGAGGGGGAGAGAGAGAGAAAAGAGATTCACCCCCGGAAAAGGAGGAAGAAAATAGTTGATCAGTCGGTTTGCTCTGCATTGTCAAAATGTCACTGCACCATTTTGATCTCTGGATGCTTAACAACTTCCCAGTGGAGATGAGAATAATTGCTTCACAAATTGAGATGATCTGTTTGATTTTCTAGGTTGTCTTTCACAGATGCTAGCAGTGGTTCACAGACCATAGGAGGAATCATCAGATCAGACAGAAGTAAAGTAGAGGTCAAAACGCAGAGAAGTATATACAGGCAAAACTGTCTAAATGCTCAAGAGGCACATAGAGGAGTCAGCTAAAAATACCAGCTTGTACTCAGTAGTACTGTGAGAGGTGGATTCTCAGCCAGGATGGTGACAACATAACAGTAACACAGTTACGTTAGCACTGTCTGACTTCAGATTGTCACTGCATAATCTTGCCACATGTCTGCGTGCTTCATAACATAAAGTTATAGATAACCTGAACCTGCTTGCCAAGTCCGACAAGTGGTGGTTAATTCTACTGAATGTAGGCAGAACGTTCTTCCACAAAATACCTCCCATGCGGAGTTGCTTGCCCTGCTTTTTTCCACTAGACTCTATAGACAGCTGCCCTTTTTGACACCTACTTCTGAAGTTCATCATCCACAGACTTACTGTTAAGATGGGATTTTTGAGGTTGCTTTCTAACAATATCTTTGTGAACATACGTGACTTGTTATTCAGAAGCTTCAGATGCCTCTGGACAGGCCAAAGATGTATCTAAGAGCAGCCTTATCCATAATGTAAAATAAGCTGTTACCATGGCAAAATAACTCAAGATTGATGAAGTGAATCACTTTTTCTGAATAGTGAGCATAGAAAGCTCCCCTGTGCTCAGAAATTAAATAGGAGACTTTTAAAACATTTCAGAGTTTTAAGATTAGTTTACACAAGTCATGGTAATGACACTTATTCTAAGATGCTATTGCTGATGATTGTTACTCTTATCCTTCTACTGGCTGGCAGCCAGAAGAGCATTGCCTGAGAGGGATCCGACAGTCTGATTCCACATCCAATCTAAAAATTTGTCTTAAAAGTTTTTTTTAATATTCTCAGCTGATGTAAACTGGCATTCTTAAGTCCTCACTGATATTAATGGAGCCAGATCAATTTGCAGCTGCTTAGCACCTGGCCCAAAGATTTTTATTTTTTAATCAGAAAGAAAGCCCCATTTATCCAGGCATCTCACATTGGGACAGCAATACCTTCCACAGATGTGTGTGCTCAGATTTCCATCAGGAGTCTCCATCCCAGATATTTTATTTGCATAACAATCATAATACAGTCACATGCCTCATATAGCAGGACACAGCAAAACAGGTGGGTGAGGAGAGCTGAGTTGGTTCTTTAAGCTGTATCATATCATATATTGATTTAAAGATACAATTTTGCTTGCATTCAGTTTATTAGTTTAACAGTTTCTAGTCTAGTCTCATTCTGTTTTAATTTAAATCATCAAGGCTTTACGCATGGGAGCCAGCAAAGGGCAGTCTGAAGGTTTTAGCAGCTCTGGGACCAAAAGGAATGCGACTGTAAAACGCACTGTTCTTCTTCTACTTGTCTATCACTTGCCTATTTTTATTTTAGAGGAAAAGAAAACCTTAACAGAAACAAATGAAAGATTGGGAGGTTTCATATTTATTAGCACACTGAACAGAAAGAGAAGGAGAGTTAATAGGGTTTTTATTTTCGTTTTATTGTCTTATTTGGTTTCCTTTGATGAGCTGATGGTAAGTGAACATAAAGAGCACCATTGGTTAACACTGGCCTTGCGCTAAAATAGCTTTACGAGAATGACAAATTTATGGTGTGAAACTAGAGGAATACAGGAGTGTTAAACCAAGAGGAAGAACTGATTGATACCCTGAAAATCTGTGAGTGGACTTAGGATTCTACACGACTGATAACTGTTTGTTAGCATTGAAGTTTGCATCTAGGAAGGTATGCTGAAAATGTGCCTTCCTCTCCCCCAGCATAGCCCGCCTCACTGAAAAAAATTGGGGGTTTCATCTGGTACACTACTTGAGGACAAGAATAAGCAGAGGATATTTATTCTCCTTAACCTGGCAGTGCCTTTTGGTGACGGACCTAAATTCTGTGTACCTGCGGGGCTAATGAGTGAGAAGGAGGCATTCACTGACAGGGGAGAAAGAGACTAGGGAACAGGAAATTTGCTGAATATATGAATTTATGGTGTGCTCTGCACTTTTGCATGTTTAAATGTGAAGTGCAAGCAGCAAAACAGGAATTTATGAATCTCAGCCTAAATGACTGTGGAAATCTTCAAGAGTCCTTACAGGAGTCTATACCTGAAATATTAACATTGTCCTTTCTTTGGTGAAAATACACTAGTGATGATAAACATCAGCCAGTACACACTGAAATTTTAATAAAGCTGAAACACCATGATGAGTAACAGTGCAAAAAGATTTACATGATCTGTTTTCCTCCTGAAAATTTTGGGGCCACATTTTCAATTTATCTGCTTGCCTAACTTTGCTAGTTTTGTGCTTTGCTGTACAGAGGCAAGCTAGTGTACTGCAGCTATCAGGTTACACAATGCCATTTTTACGGAAATAGATGGGCAATGGCAAAACTCATTTACTTGTGAGTGTGCCTTCCTGGTCTCCTTCAGTAAAGTGTAATAAATGTGCATGTGCAATGAACAGTGTGCACCATGAGGCTGAAAAGAATCCACGGAATACATGTTGGTTTCCCTTACTGTTTTTCCAGAGATTTATTTTATGCAGGTAAAAGATGAGTACATTTATCTTCATGACTGCACCTGCATAAAATCCTTCTTTGCTATCATGTGCCATTTTGCATAATTATAGCAGTTGGTACATCTAGTCCAGACTGCAAATGAGTATGTTCGCAACAGAAAATGCACCCTGTATTTGTTAAACAGCTGGGAGGGAGGGGCAGGAGGAAGAGACTTGTTGAATAAAAATAATGGTAAGGATTTTTTCTTTTCTTATCTCTCCAGCAAAAAATAAGAGCAGAATAACTTATTTCCTAGCACTCATAAAGATTTATCTCATACAATATAAAACTCATCCCACTGAATAATTTGAAGAAGCATATATAGCAAAATGTATATCTGATACGTATGTTCTCTATAATAACATTACAAACTCTCTTGAAGTATAAACGAATTTGGATCCAGTGTTAGTCCTAAGTAAAATGATTTGCACAGGCAGTAAGAAGACATATATAAACAAGATATATATGTAAGCATACTGTTTCTTAAACAGGCAGCTAACACTATTTTCATGCATTCCAAGGTATTTGTCAGGCTTATACCACATCCATTTTTGTAAGTGTAGCAATATTTAACCGTAGGTATTGAGCTGTCTCCTTCTCAGATGGACAATATGCAAAAGAAACAAAACACTCTTTGGGACGTGCATGTAGGGCAGAACAATAGCAGGTGATCTAGTCCAGTCCTTGCTGACTTTTAAACATCTGCTTTAGCAACATACTACACACTCTAAGACCAAAACAAAGTTCTCTTCTACCTTTCACAAAGCTGTAATCTATTAAGCCATTTGGCCATGAGAAGATTTAGGTGCATACCTGTGCTTTAATCCCCCTTACCTACAGGAATGGTCATTCCATGGATTTTGTCTGCCCAGCCAGCATAATACCTCAGGGTTTTTATGACTCCCTGAAGATCTACATAGAAAGCTTGCAAGAATGGTTTGCCACTGTTCAGTGATTCCATAGTCTAGAGGACAAGAAAAAGTTAAGAGATATAAGCACGGTAGCATTTTTAGACTGTTGTACTTAAGTATTCACTGTCTTCAATCATGACAGGGATTTTAATGAAGACCAACCAGTTAGTTACACCTTGGCATAGTCCAAACCCAGAAGGTTCAGAACAACTATCTAATCCCCTTTGTTACTTCTTTTTGTAAATGTGAACAAAAAGCATTTTCCTTAAAAAAAAACTGGTTCCTTCTGGAGTATCCTGGAATGACTATGATTTTAAGAACATGTGCGTTCGTGTGTGTGTGTCTGTCTGTCTGTCTTGTGGGTTTGTGTGTGTATCCACATGCATGTACATATGCCTGTGTGTATTTTGGACCTAATAGCCACTGTGTTTGGTCCAGATATATAAATGCTAAATTGCTTTAATCAGGAGCCAAGATAAAAATGCCTGTCAAACTAGGTTCTGCTATGTTAATGATAACAGCTGAGAAGGGGCTCCTTGTAACCCCGTATTAATGATCTGAATCCATAAAGAGAAGAATGGACATATCCCTCTTTATATAATTGATGTGAATATAAAAATTTCTCTATATGGCTGCCAAGACGCCTGCTGAGGTCTGAGATATCTATACTGTACAGCCAGTTTATTTATTGCCATCAAATAAACAAACTCTCCTCTAGGGAAGCTCATAAATTAACAAGCTAATGTCCTTATTTTTAAGTTAATATTCCTATTTTTAAAAGTATCTTATAAGCTATCCTCTTAGGGGTTCCTAAGATCATTTAGCAAAAAGAATCCAATAAAATATCCTAAGATGTTGAGTAGCTTAACTCATTCTCAATAGCTGTCTAATAGAAATTGCTAAGAATGGGCAAAGTACGCCCATGTGTAACACACCAACCATCAAATGAGTTTCTATAGAGAAGAATGGAGGCCTAATTCTGCACTGACTTATATCCCCAAGAGCAATTAATGGCATTGCCTGCAGTGCAATTCAGTAAAGAACTTGGCTCTGGAAATAAAAATCAAATGACAGGCAGAGTAAACTTGATTTGCTGTGCACTTCCTTCTCCCTGTGGCGATTTTACAGTATACACTTGTGGTAAGATGATTTAAGTGTTGACAAAGCTGGAATTAAGATGTTCACCAGCTTAGTTCAAAGCACTTGACATGCGGAAAACAACATTAACAATGCCACCGTTTAGATGGCTTCATACGTGAGTGAAATAGTGCAGTACTCAGAATTCCTGTTACCAGTGTCAGTAAGCATTTCACCTGCCATTTCACTAATATCTGCACAAATCACTTCACTCAGTCTTCCATTTTTTATTTTAGAAAAGTTACAAGCGTGCATAACAGGCACGCATATGTGTGCACACCCGTTCATTTGTCTGATGTCCAGTTTGAAGCTCATTTGAGTCAACCGGAAGACTCTTGTTGACTTTTATGAGCTTTGGATCAGGTCTTAAGTAGACAGTCAGCCATCTTAGCCATTAAGCTGAGTGTAGTTTTCAAATGTAATTCATACTGATACATTTATGAACTAATTTGCTCTCAGAATGTAAAACTGACAGATGATTTGACTGTTGATTTTCATGTGCCACTTACAGCAAGAATCGTCCTGTCTCTTTCGACCAAGTCTGCTAGCTTATCCAAAAGATGGCCTCTTTCCGATGCATCCATTCTCCTCCAAACTGAACCTAGAGAAAAAGCAAGGCGAGCTGCTCTCACTGCTTTGTCTGTATCAACCTGTCAAGAAGGAAGGAAAAAACCAAAGGCACTGAGGTGAGTAACATTACCAGGCTTATGAAATTTGCTGTTTTACAGCCTTAGTCACATGATGGGGTTTGGAACTGTGATTAATAAAAGAACTGTCCAACAGTGCTATTCTAGACCTGTTGCTTTGATCTATTGATACATTTCTACCCATTCACTGGATGCATTACCTTGTCAGCTTCCTGGATCTCACAGATCTGCTCTCCTGTTGCTGGATTATATACTGGGAATATTCTCCCACTTTCAGAATTTTGCCACTCATTATTGATGAAAATCTAGGAAAGGAAGAAAAGTCATCAGTCCTCCTGCATGAACAAACAGTAATGTATATAACAACAAACTCCTGGGAAAGGCTGCAGATTCTATTAGAAAAGAGTTGAAACTTATTTATGCCTGTGAAAATCACAGTTTTCAAGAGTTCAGACTAAGGGTCAGCCCCTGATGTCTTTCTGTAGTTTGTGGCAGTGGCACTATAGAAACAACATCAAACTCTAATTAACTTTGTTGACATTCAAATTTGGTTCAAAAACTGTAACAAATTAACTAAACCGAGAAATACCTGTATCAGAGAAAAAGCCTTGAAACTGCTGGAGACAAGACAAAGATTTGGAGTAATCATTCAATTCAGTAAGTAAACATTTGGTCACTGATACAACCCAGTCAAGGCTGAATAATCTCAAGCGTCACAGTTCTTCAATACACAGTCAGTTGATTATGGCTACAGTGATGGCTTGCAGCACAGAATTAACTTGCTTATCTGCTTGGAACACGGAAATTGTTAAATTCTCTCAGTGTTGACATAATTTTAATTGTTGTGGGCAAACCAAATTTGAATTTTAATGGTGCTGACAACAGCGGTCTTGAGAGAAGTAATGACAAATGAGTTTATTTAAAGTTGATTTTTACTGGTAGCAGCATTCACGCCAGTTACTTTCTATTGAATGGCTTTCAAGAACAGGACACAATTATTTATTAGCAAAAATGAAAGAAGTCACCCTAGGAAAACAACTGAGTAAAAGGTTTTCCAGGTATTCAGACTCTTCCTGTCCTTGAAATCAGAATGGAAGTGTCCAAAGAAGTCCAAACACCATATGGGTTCCTTGGAGTTCAGATATCAGTGGTCTTTCATTGTCTACCATGAAATACAAATTTAAATGTGTAAGGGGAGGTTCTGGCCTCATTGAAATCCATGGGAATTTTACTGCTGAATTCACTGGAAGCAGGAGTTCACTCCTAGATAGAAGGAATGTTCACCACCCTTTTTTGCATAAGGCGTTAAGTTGTGTTTATAGAGACAGGGATCTTTCTCTGGTTAAACCAAAGCAAAGCCCCATACCCCATACAGATCCTACAACTGTGGATAAGTAGAAAGCTGAGGGACCCTTCGAAAGATCCAGGAGTCTCACTTCCAATCGGAGATACTCAGGTGGTAGAACTTGGCCTATCTTTTTAGATCACGGCTACAGAACAAGAATGAATGATGTATTAAATACCGGTCCAGTTTCCTCACAGAGCCACCAGAGATGCTCGGACAAAGATCTGTCCCGCTGTAGGCAGACTAAACACCACAAACCACTTGTCCAGAGTAGTACTTTGCCACCTCTTTAATCTTGCACTTTCTGCTGGCTTACTGCGATGCAATAAAGAAGCTGTTACCTTTGTACTGGTACATGGCTCAGGTCAGCCAGATGAGCTGAGGGAGACGATGGAAGACAGTTCATATGTAAAGACTTTGCTTAAATGGTATCAGGTTGTTGGTTCCTTTTTTGTTCACTTTCTTTATAGCAAAGTTTGATGTGGCAAAACCAGGACCAAAAAAAAATTACATTTTTTCATGTGGAAATAAATGGAATGTAATACCTGTCTTTTCTAGTCAAAGAATAGTACAATACAATTATAGATCAGCTGCTGATTTTTTAGGCTTGGAATAGCACAATTAGGATAGCTGCACCAGCCTGCCAACTAAATAGTTTAAAACTTACTCTAACTTGAGGATTAACAACTTGTCTGATGGCAAAAAAAAGTGTATCATCAGCATCAAAATGCTGGGTGTTTAAGGAAAGAGGATCATCTAAGCTTTAACATATCTGTAAGGAAGGTGGGGAACAAGTAGAGCGCTAGTCATAAATTGATGAGAAGAAACTGAGCTGGGGAAAAAACCCAACGCTATTGTGGTAAAAAAAGGAGCCAAGAGAAAATACACTCAGAAGGCTCAAGATGAACAGTTGCAAGACCAAAGGGTATAAAATGTCCATAAAAGAAAAGACCATGGTGAGGACACCGGTGTGCCTGTGCATTTTAAAGAAGGTAAAGAAATTGCACACTCACATTTGCACATGAAGGCGAAGATGCATCTGTAGTTTTTTGTTACCAGACAGGAGCTTGCTCAACCTATTCTCCAAGCCAAATGGAAGCCATGTAGCTGTGTTCTTCTCAGCAGGGCTTATTAGCTCAGGCTCAGTGCCACACTAACTGCAGTGACATAGCCTCTGGCTCAGAGCTGACTCATGTCTGGCTGACTGAGGACATGGGCAGAAGGAACCAGTGCCTGCCTGGAAAGGACCTTGGCCGTATAACAACTGAAACAGAAAGCAACAATTACATGTGCTTTTGCTTTTATGGATGTGTTTCTGTTGTGTTTCCTCATCTTTGCTGTGCCTCTAGCCTCAGCCACTTTGCGGTGTGCCCATCCATCCATTTCAGAGTCCATCCTTTCTTTACTTTCCCCCACTTTTTGTTTTGGATTTCAGAGGTGGCTGAACCCAGGACCTACTGCACCATTACCCATCTGTCGCTTTCTTTGCACTCTCTGTTCATCTTGAACCTGTTCATGTCCTTGGACTGTAAGCTCCTCAGACCATGGGTGGTGGCTTCCTGCTCAGTGATTACACTGCTTTGCAAACCGAAGTACTGGAGCTAACTCAGCCAAAATAAGATAACAAAAGAATCACCAGTATGATCTGTAGTGACCAACACCATAAGCTGAAATCCTCCGGTGTATCATTGTCACTTTTTGGACTGTAAGTGAAATAAAGAAACTGAGATCTGTGACCTGTGTGGATGAAGGATGTTACTGTCATCCTTTCCACTGAGTTCGGTCGAGTTAACCCCACGCCCAGAATATGTGGGGGTACGCTGAGGAGGGAGGGGAAGGGAGAAGAGCTCACAGCTTCAGGAGCAGATGGCCGAAGGAGATGTAAGGATGTTTGTTTAAGGTTACAGTATGTATGTAAACACATAGGTTCCTTGTGTGATCTGTCTTGAAAGAATAAAACAGTTCAGTTGAGTGCAAGAACCTGGGAAGTGGTGGCAACTGCAATTCAGTACTCTTCCCTTATAGAAGTGGTCTGTTCTTTTTTTAAAAGATTAAAAAATATTAACTACATTCTGCTGGGATGAACACCTATCATCAGGTTTGCTAGTACACAGGACACGTATTTGTTCTTAAAATACATTTCACCACAGGAATAAGAAATAGTGCCTTGGAATTACAAAAGAGTGTTGCAATTCAAGTTGACTGGAACTGTAAGGTGTATTATTTTATTGAATGCTCCATTTATCCAATAGATTTAGAACAAGAACAGTAATAGCTAATATTTCAGATAGGACATGGGAAGGATCTATTTGGCATAAAGTTAGAGCTGAAGGCAAGAGAAATTGCTACTGTTAATGGTTAATGTTAGTTTCTTCCTGTTCCACTTTCTATAAACAAGGTATTGCCTATACAAGCTCATTACTGTAAACTGAGCACATTTAAATTGGCAGTAAAATCAGAGTATTTACTCTAGTGCACAAATAAAGTACCTAGTCCCATGTTTTGGAACAGTTTCAAGTCTTGAAATCCAGCAGCTGGCGGCTTTACAAGCAAAACCTTACACTTAAATAATTCACTTTTGAAAGTTTTAGGTGTTCTGTGTCAGGTAGTACCATTCAGCAGATATTCCTACCACCAAGACACAAATTCTTTTGCAATAAATTTGCATTCACAGGGGCTTTTATAACTCTTCCAGCACTACTGACTCCAATGGCTGTTGATTAAACGTATATATCCTGTACATTTAATCTGACTTTCATTATGGCCACTTCGTAAAAACGCCATGAAATGGACAAGCGATGACACATTGCAAGAACAAGGAATCCCTGCAAAGTCTCAAATTGGGTTTTTTCCTGCCTTATTTATAGTGACCATGGTAAAGGCTAACTCTAAATCAGGGAGAATATTTGACAGCAAATGTTCCTATCTATGGATTATATATAACCCATCCTAAACACCAGATGAAAAAGGGGTAACCCTAGAAAAAAGAAGGGCTTGCTTCCATGTAAATCATGCTACAAATTGGACAACACCCAGCGAGTTCATTGTTCAGCCTCAATTGTAAAGGCTATTCACATTTACTATTCCCCTGGAATCAATGTTAATTAAGGCTGACTGGGGCTATAAATCAGCCTTTGGTTTTTACAACTTAATTCAGCATTAAGCATATATATGTAAATAAAAGGTAACTGATTAACCACTTGAGTTTTCCAGGAGTTACTGAGGTAATTTGTTTTTGTTTGAGTCCTAGTGTTACCTTTTGTGATTGCAGTAAGGAAAAGAAAAAGTATATAGTATGTCATGTATTTGCTATGCGGTATTGTGAGTAGTTAAATTATCTGGCCTGTTGGGTGCCATCAACAAAACTGTCCCAAAAAGGAAGAAGGAAATACTTGAAAAATTGTGGAACACATGAACATTTAGTTTGCCATCTACTCTCAGTACAGCCAGTAACTGCAGTAACGTGAAAGCAGGAAGAGAAAAGGCAACCTTCCTGTTTTACTTAGGTGTCCTGGTCAGAAGAGTCATTTGGCCAAGAACAAACCCAACTGGCAAAACAGACAATGCCTCTTGTAAGTCAGGAATCTGGCTGTAGTTAGCATACAGTGGTCTAAGGGGGAAACGAAATACTCTTTGTTCATCAGCAGAACAGGGCAGCAGCTGAGGTGTGTATGTGTGTGGGATGGACCGTGAACATGTCCTTGGAGTGTCATCATTCTCAAGAGATCTCATCGTAAAGGTCTCTTGGTAATTTCTGTTCCTGTCCAAGTGGAAGATGGAGAGGGCATGGCATTTTCCTAAATGAACAGGCACATCCCTCCTAGTACCGACAATAACCTCGTCCTCATACACACATGTTCTGATAGGTCTTTTGATAGAACTTTGCAAGCTAATAGTCCCACCACATATTTGCTAGGTTCACATTCTGCCCATGGTTAATTACGTACAGTCACTGTTGAC